ACTTTTTCTTGGGGGTCTGGTTGAGACCGACCGATTTTGTGCAACCTAACCCCCCCCCCCCCCCTCTCGTGAGCGACGAGGGTGGGGTAAGGGTGTTACGATGAGCGATCAAAACGAACAGGGGTGCGGACCTCACAACGTAATAACCGAAAGCACGTCATTTTTTCACCCCAAGACACATCCGTTCTACGAACAGCACCTACCGTATAGATGGACGAAAAAAAAAAAAGTACTCGGAAAACGCACCGGAACCGCATATACACAAGAGCAGAGGATGACAGAAATCGAAGGCAAGGGGCAGAGGTAGAAAAGAACCACCCACTCATCATCCCGTCACCAGCACCTTGAGCTTGGTGTGGCAGTTGAGGAGCAGGGTGGTGTGCTCCGACGACGCCTGGCCAGCGTCGTGAAGCGCCTCGAGGTAAGACGTGAGCAGCCCTATCCTCTGCGCGTCGAGGAAGCGGCGGATGACGTAGCTGGGGTCGAGCTGCCCGATCGTGCACTGGTACTGCTGCATCGCACCCTCGAAGTCTCCCTTCTTGTAGAGGTGGTCCCCGTGCATGCCTAAGGTCGAGGGTTCGGGGTAAGGCGTCCCACCGGGTTAGACGCTCCCGTTGTATATTCTTGCTTAGGAGACGGTGTCCGCGGATGCCTCAGCGGGCTGGGGTCGGGGTCGTCATACGTCGCCTGTGTGCATTCATTCTCCTGGTTGTGGCTAGTAACCCGATGTCTGGGGTCTACGAGGAAGTATATTGTATTGAGAGGCTCGACGCATGACCCTGGGTTGCGAGTGCAAAGATTTGGGTGTGAGGATCGCCCCCGTCAACACATGTGGGGCCTCTCGTTTTTCATTGTACGATACCCAACGACAACAACAAGCACGCAACACCCGTAGGAGACCAAAGGGGCACCGTCCAATGCAAAGGATAAGTTGTTGCCGGGGGGCAAACATTTGGCTAGTGCCAACAACAAGGACCAACATTGACTCGCAACCATGAACGCGGCAAGCAACGCCCGAAACTCCCCCCCTAAATCCAACCAAAACTCACGATAAATCCCCAGGATCTCCGACACGTCGTGGTCGCTGGCGTAAGCCAGCGAGATGGCCATCGGGTAGAGGTTCTTCCTGAAGAGGAGCTCGAGCTTGGAAGACGTGTCTCGCTCTCGAAGCCTGAGCAGCGAGTTCCTGTTCGTGAGGATGAAGGCCAAGCCTTCCCCGGATCCCCCGACGCTACCGTTGCCGGCTACTACGTTGCCGGCACCGTTCCCGAGATTGGTCCCGGCGTTAGGGTCGTATCGCTCGCCCTGAGAAGGCGTGTGTAGGGGAAGCGGGGACGGGGGCGGCAGGGGGGGCGTACTCGTATGTTTTGCATGCCTTAGCAGTTAGACCATTGACCTCGCATCCCTACAAAGCCGGGACGGAGCACGCCGGGTTCTCACTGGAACCAAGCTCTCACATCACCAAGCGCGAAGCGCCGTGAGGTATTCGGCGAGTCGCATGGAGGGTGCGCTGCATCCTCCTACGATGTTCGGGCGGGATAATCGCGATCTTTTGTACACTGCTGTAGTCTCCTGGTTGAAGGCCTTGTACATCCAGACAAACCGGGGAGGGAGCACGTCGGGTTTCCATTTCCACCGAGGGGAGCCGGCATAGCAGGAGGAGAGGGGGGGTGTTTCTTCCCTCAAACTTTGGACCATGGACTGTCCGCCTCACAGAAAAGGCGAGAGCACAAACTGCTCACTGGTCCCTACAATACTTCTGAGAGAGCCAGTCGCGTCCAACCTTGGGCGATGTGGGAGAGGGAAGACGCGGGAAATGTTGGTCCGTTGTGTTTGATTGTGTCGTTCGGTTTGTGCCGCGAACTCATCCTTATCCTTCTCCTTCTCCAAAACACCACATTTGCTGCGCTAAACCTCACACTTCTCGGTACTAAAATAGAGCTTCAGCTCCGAGTGATGTTATGTCTCGAACTGGTAGTCTCCCTTTGATTGTATGTTGTTGTTGTTGTTGTTGTTGTTGTTGTTGTTGTTGTCGTCGTCGTGGTATTAAAAACCTTTCCGTTTTCTCAACCTAGTACCTTCTTCCTCCGTACTAGTGAAACACTTGACGCTAGATTTTCGAAAAAACAGCCCCCCGTAAATGATGTCGGTTCCATCTGCGGTGTTGGCGTGTGTCACCTGGCAGGATATTCGCTTGACGCCCTGTCCCTGGGGAAGCAAGGCGTGAAACGCCACGAGCTTATTTCTCATGTCGTACATATTGATCGTGTGCCTTCCCGATCGACCATCTTCGCTGACCACCTGCCGCCAAAGCAAAAAGGGCACCACACAAGCCAAGTCAGAGATCTTTGTGTGGCCGGATAGTTTTGCCGATTATTCGATTCTGAGGAAGACGCTATCGCATAAAAATCGGTGTGTTTGTTAATAATTTTGAATCCCCAATCAAATCGATCGCGTCAAAAGTCGAAACAACAAGCGAACGTTGAATGAACCTTACTCAGCTGCCGGGAAACAAGAGCAAGGCGTCATGGAACAATGCGCCGATGATGAAGCTACTTAGACGCGACAAAACTAAACCTTTAAATCACTTGACAAAGTTCGCTGTTTTTTCTGGATGCATCCAACGTTATTGGCATTTTTTCGGGCTCCTCCCTCACCAAGACTCAGCACCACAAGCGGCAGCCAGTGCGCTGGTTCCTGGATTGCAATTCCCAAGAACCGTCCTCGGGAAAACGCTTACTTCAAGGGTCCGACTTTCTGGCCGCAAAATGTAGCGCACATCGCCTTCCTGTCGCTTTCGCTACTCTTCTCGCTCACCAAGATGTAGTTCCACAAGCAGCCGACGTGCTGCTTCTTGCCTTCGAAGCCCGCGGCGCCGCCCCTATCCTCCGAGGAAAAGAAAAACACCCCGTCCTCGCGGCCGACCACCATTTCCTGACGCCATGCGCGTAACATAGGTAGGAGGTGTGCAGGTGAGTACCGAGACGGAAAAAAAAGGAAGCAATTTAGCCAACGATTTACAAATATTTCAACTTTTTCCTTTTGGGCACAAAGATTGTACTATCCAAGGAAGGATCACCAGGAACGCCACCCACCCTCACAGCTGGCCGATATGTAGTGCCTAAACGTTACAACAAGCTACATGTGAGCGAAGTTTGTATTTGTAGAGTTTTATCTCTGGATGGACTCACGCACCATCGAATTCCCGGGTGTGTTTCCTCGAATCGAGAATATCTGGCGGCCGAGAAAAAGCCAGGGGCTAGGAAGTGACGACCTAAATGAGCGAATTTGAGTGGCGTCTGATCCCAGGAAGAATTCACACAACATCGCATCTCCGGTTGCAAACGCACATGTACCCAAAAAACTCTTTTTATCACGATGAAGAAGGTCCAAAACAGAGCCCTCACACAAGCAAAGCCCACGGAACTCGCTGCTGCGATACCACACCCGCCTGCGTAGACTGCCCGAAAGCGGAGCAACCTTCCTGGCAGCCTTGCTCGTCCAGGACCAAGGGCTCCGCATCTGTCCGGGTGTCGTAGGAGAGAAGGCCCAGCGAGGGAAAGTCCGGGGAAGGCATGCCGCCGTTGCCTCCCTCCTTGTCCAGGTCGTAGCCGACGATGAGTTTGGGCTGAAATGGGACAGGGAAATCGGGAGGGAGTGTGGATGTTGTTGTATGTTCTTGTCTTTATACGTGAAAAAACGTTCCGGTCTCTGCTCAATACCTTCTAGCATCCGTACCAGTTCAGTTGACGCTGGCAAAACACCAAGACTTCAAACACATCCCTATCGACTGCTGTGGATATATCTCGCACGGACAGCCTATGAATATTTTCTAAAAACGAACACAAGCGCGAGGTACTACAGCAACGAAAGAATAGAGTGTGCTGTGAATGCCACCTCAGACTGTCGTAGATTGTGTGACGTCAGATGACCTGTCGGAGATCTACCTTCTTCGGGGTGTTGCCACAGATAGAGTCAGTGTAGGATGGACGCTGAACCTTACTTCAACACAAGGTTTCTTCCCACCTGACACTCAACACAACCATCCGTACTCGTCAGCCTCTCCACCAGAGGTTGAACCGGTGTGTATCCACATTACACATCCCAAAGGGAACGTACTTGCTCACACGTGAACTTGGAGACAACCGTCTCATAGCGTGTTCCATGAAAAAATTAAAGGTACAAGGATATCTTACGCTTTGGTGCTAGGTAAGACATACATATCGACATCATCACACCTGAGGTGGACTCGAGCTGCCGCTGCCGCCACCCCGACCGCGTTGCTGTCCCTTGGAGAAGTGCAGCGCCGTGACAGCAGAAGGGTTCTCCTCACCCGGCTGTATCAGCAGCGGCGGCGGCGGCGGCAAGACCGGGCTGCGCACCAGGTCCCCTTGCAGGAGCAACGCCATTCCGTCTGAAAAGCCGCACGCCACCTTACCAGGGTGAATTGATTGGCATGAGGGCGAGCGGGGGGGGATTACGTCACGCTGCAATGTTTGCCTCCTCCTTCTGGCCATCTTTCAATCAAAATTGACGCCGACAGACCTAGAGCTGGTGTTCGAGGGCCACACACAGTAATGAACTGCGGTTCTCCTTGAAACACGGATATATTTGGGGTGTCGTGTAACTGACGAGGTACGGTGATACTTGAATGAAGCGGTGAGCACACAAGCTGGGATCACTGGAAAGCTGGATCGTCCGTCATGTTGCGCGTTCGGGCGTGGTTGCTGGCGATATTGGCACACATCAAACAGTGGGACGGAACCCTCTTTCCCAAGAAGAGCTTCGCTACTCCGTGTTTCACAGAAGCAGTTTGCGGGGGTTGAGAAAGAAACCGAAAGCAAGAAGAGAGAGAACGAGAGCGGAGGTAGACTTGGGGCCTGAAATTAACTGACGTCGTATCCTGCGCGGTGGACGTTGCCTCCTCTTCCTTAACCCATAGCGGGCAGCATCGATGGCGGAAGCGGCGTTCGAGCTCTCGGGCTTGAGACACATACATACGTACCATATGTCCCAGCTATGTATGCATGCATCTTGACTTTCGAGCATTTGAGGCTTGACACTTGGCTTCTCATTCGGCGAGGGTTGACGAGGCGTTTGCATTTTGGCGAACGAATCTCCAGAACGCACAAAAACAAAAATTTTACCAAAACATGACTGCTTGTCCAATACCTCCAGCTATCCGACACCCCGCTTACCCCTTACCCAACATAAACGAAGGAACGGTGAGGGGCGAAAAGGATAACATCCACGTTGATAACGAGCATCCCCCCCCCAACGAGCGAACGAAACAAGCACAAAACCAAAAACGTGGGTGCTCTGCTGGCTTGCCTGAGATGCGTCGGGCGTGATCGCGAACGCCGTCAACCGAGGGAGTCTTGCCCGCGCCCCCCCCGCCCCGCCTCCGGAGGAAGCCCATCTCTGATGCTGCCCGTCCGGCATTTGCGCCGCAACGTCCACCGCGCGGATGCACAACCCCATGTCCGCACCCGCCCAAAACTTTAGCACGCAGGGGGACCGACCGTTTCCTGCCCCAACCCCTCCTGCCCCCCCGGCCTCCGCCTGCGGGGGAGGGTTCACGGAGTCGTCCCCAAGTGTAACGACCACGCCGTATTTCCTGCTGGTTTTGTTGCTTGCGGCGGTACTGCTGTTGGTTCCGGACGAAGAGGGAAGGTTTGAGGGCAGGGGAGCCGCAGCTCGGGCTGTCGCGGACCCCGGGGGGACGCCGTCGGGGGCGAGCGCGAGCGCCAGGATCGGCCCGGAGTACGCCTGGCGCTGAATCTTGCCGCTGAGGTTGCTGTCGGAAATGGTTACTTTTCCGGCTGCGTCGCCTGTTTTGGGAGATACAGCAGAGATTCGCTTTTCATTTGTTACCCTCGGCGGACTAGTGGAGGGGCACCGCAGAGCGATCAAGGGGATGCCGGCTCATGTGCCTAATAGAGCGTATCAGAACTTTGGGCCAGCTGCGATACTACAAGCTCTGAGCTGTGTCGGCGATCAGCGACAACGGCACCAAGCAAATCAGGTAGGATAACTAAACAACACGGCAGGTCACGGGAGTCAACAAATGCAAGGAGACGTAAACCTTCAGCAAACCTCGAAACCCCTTGCTACAAACTAGTCTACAGCAAGTTTACGTGCAATCTACGTACATACCATGCCTTTGGTAGTCTGCTGCTACCCGTTTGCTGTGCTGAACAAGTATGGCCGTGGAAGCAGATTATAGCGAACGTGCAGACCAAAGCACCACCGAGTTCATCCCGGTAACCAACACTCCTGCTGTGGGGACGGACAACCCCTACAGCAGTAGCCTGCGCGATGGGACTCAGTTTGACGGTTGCAGCTCAACACCTACAGCACTGCTTACAGAACACCGATCCAGTAGAGCGATCTCCGCCACAGCCCCCAAAAATACTGCTGTACCACAACCAAGCTCACCGAGATAAAGCCTGCCTCCCGCCGTGTGCATACAGGACACTTCAGCGCCAATCTCGGTGGCAACGTCTTCGGCGACGGTCTCCTTGTCGAAGAACGCAAACCTGCGCCATTGCACTTGCCGTGACATTCTTTCCGCAAGCCCCTTTAAGAAAAACGTTAAACCTCGTCGTTAACGCAAACCCTGTTCGCAACCCCCCCCACCGGTCTTCCCTCCTGCGTAAGGGTGTACCAGTCCTCTCGTCAGCTATAAAACAAGTCTTGTCCTACAGTACGCGCAGCTGCGGCGCAGGCAACAGAAAAGAGTCAGCGCAGAAGACCCGTCATACCCACGCTGGTAAAGGACCGCCAGCCGCGTGCCCCCTCGCCGCCACTACTTGCCACTACACCGCCGCACATGGCCGATAAGCCCACTGCATCCACTCCACTGCATCTGCTATACTTTACTGGAGGTGTGTGTGCACAGGGTACAACACAGCCAGGAGGAGGTGTTAATCGATACAATGGCGGAAAGCGGGGAGCAAAGCGTTGGTGAAGCACCCGTGCAACCGCCGTCGAACGCTAAGGACGCCGTGTACGCAATGCTTGGCAGGTAAACCTTCAGCCCCCTCAGCACTCAACACACAAGATGGATACGTACAGTAGTCTAGTGGACGGCCTGTGACACCAAGCCCTTTTTTCGTGGGTGCGTTTGACGATGTTGGTTGTAATTTTATGTGCATATACCGCCGAAGATATTGACTATTAATATTTCAGTGTTTTCAAATAGGGGGGTGATATTCGGCGTAGACTACACTCCGATCTTGTCCATACAAGCCGGTCGCCCCGGTGGTCTAGTGGTACTTCGAAACCGCTAGTCGCAGAGGTCGTGAGGTCGAAACCCCATGGGGTGAAAAAATGACAAACTTTGCGGTTGAAAGCGAAATATAGCTGAAAAGGCTTTCGTGAGTACCAAACTTCGACGTAAGCACCGTTGATGAGGGCAAGGGACGGCTGGACCCTTCTCGCGATAAAAATAAAATTCAGCACGCACCGCAGGAGGAAGGTGGGGCATGAACAAAAATAAAAAGAAGAAAAAAGCCCTGGTGTTTACCCCCTCCTGTGTGACCCTGGATGGTTGTAGTTGTACGAAAAGATACACTGAAAAGTGTAGTACTCTACATATGCTGAAAAATGTAGGACACGTCTCACCACGAAAAATGGGGACTGTCGCCATAATAAATAGGACGAAAACAAACAAAAAAACAAGCATACCAGTACATTCAAACCGTCGCCGGTCACGCCTGATATGTCATCGGAAAACACGAACAAAGTATTTGACCACAACCTTGAATCGTTTGTGGCATGGGGACACTCCACAGCAGTGCACGACAGAGGAAATGCAACAGAGAGTAGGGCGGACGCCTCCGCCGCCACACTGCAAAACCACATACTGATGGATCCTACATAGCCCCCCGTAGGCCGTGAGCGCACTCTTTGCGTCCCACTCGAGGCTCCAGACAAACAGCGTGGCTGGGGCGGGTCACGCAGGGGGTGGCACTAAAGGATGGCAAACTTGGATGCGCTCCCTGATGCTGCAGGCACGATGGTGCCAAGTCTTGGTTTTACCTCGGGAGCTTGGCAAACGTTTTTGGTAATACAGAGTGACAGATGCAGGGTTTACGAAACGCGGCCGTTCGTGTACTGTGGCACTAATCAGCGTATGGTCTCTGCGGTAGAGCTCTCGCCCACCACCGGCTCAGGGATTGGTTGTTGCGGGCTGTTTCCGTGTACACAGAGCGATCGCCTTTGAGCGTTGGTGCGTCCAGCCGTTACACTGTGGCTGTCGGTCTGTCGCAGTATGTACACAGTAGAGAGTACCACAGCCCAACACGCTCTTTTATGACGTTGGGCTATTGAAGCTGTCAGGTTCAGTGGACTGCCATATACAACTACTGGCCTGAACCTCGGCTTCAAATTTCTCTCCCTCTCGCTCCGTGTGCTCTTTCGCGGACCTTGTCTTTGTCGCTGCCTTGTTCTTCCCCAGCCAGCTGAGGACTACGCTTTCCGACGGGAGGGTGGTACAGGGTACGCTGCAGGTAAGATTTTAGGCGGTGCTAGTCTGTCTGGTTTGTTTTCTTATCATGTCCGTCTGTCTAGCTTGCCGCGAGACGACGAGCAATTAGTATCCGAAGGCTCTCTCTCTCCGTTAGCCCCAGCCCGTTTTGCGCGGACGTCTCGCCAACAACCGAGAACAACCGCGTGATACAATAAGGCCCGTACGCGAGGATCGGTGGAGACACTGGTAGGGAAGGCACAACACATGGCTTCATGATTGCCTGATATCGATGAAGTTGCTGTGTGTGACGGGATGAAGAGAGAGCGAGAACGAAATGAATGACTTGGTTCGCGCTGGTCTGCCGCCCGCCTTATCTAACCGCCGGTCGCTGTTACCCCGCTCGCTTCGCCAAACTTTGTCTATCGGCAATACCTTCCAATGGCGGCAACGCCACAACCAACACCAATGGTCCTCGACATCGAACACGGCCACTTCTGTGGCACGCGAACACCAAACACGTATAGTGCATGGATCGGCTGACCAACTTCATCCTAGCCGACGCCGTGGAAACCGGCACAGCGCCAGCAGAACCAACAGCAGGCAGCGGCGGCCGCGTTAACGACGTGCAGGATGGGGATGAGGGGTCGGTGGGAAACGATGCGGACAACGCCGATTCTAGTAGCACGTCATCATCAGCGGGACAGCAACCGGGGGCCCAGCAGAGGCACTTGGGTGTCGTCATGATCCCGGGCAAGCACCTCGTTCGCGTGGAGAGATTGGGGGGTGACGTACGGCCAAAGTAGAGACAGACGTGACCTTTGTTCGAGAGAGGGTTTTATATCTCTTCGTGCCTGAATTCCTTGGAATTGTGTGCCAGTTCATCATTTTTAAGAAATAATTGTTCAGCGTTTAGTTTGTGGCTAATTTTTGTAGTTGTTCGGGTGTTTTTATTGGTTGAAGTGAGTAATGCCTACGGCGACAAGTGGTGGTGTTTTTCAGTTCAGTACGTAGAAACGAGCGGCCGTTCTGGCTGTAGTCGAAGGTTTTTGCATGGGGATAGATAGGTCGCTGTTTGCTGATTATTTGGAAGAAATCGTGGCCTTTTTTTCTCTTATGTCCTCTGCTCTGTTGATTTGCTACGTGTGTCTCAGATATCGCGTAGCGGTACCCGTCAATCGAGAGTACGGATGAGGCGAATAGGAGCCTATCATAACTTTAGGCATACACGCAGTCACCGGAGCAGCGATATTTAGGGTGCAGACAAATCAAGAAAACGATGGCAACAACGAAGCCGGTCAACAGCATGGTTTGCTAGCTTCTACTTACACCACTCATCGCGTACGTACGAAGACAACCTCGAAAACACACCACACCTTGAGGCGGTTGCATCCGGTTTTTCAGCTCCCTCAACTGGTATGTGACACTTTGTTTTGTCAGTCGGCTAGCACACGGAATGTTCGTGAAGTGAAAACGGCACATTATTGCACTTGTCAGCAGGTGGGGGAGATAACGAAACCGGCGATACGGTCGAAATCCATTGATCACACCGTCGCTAGCCTTTAGCTGAAAATATCTCAAGCGCTCCCCGCTGAAACTTGCACTGAAATAGATGTAGCCCTAGGGCAGTCCTTAGGCTATGAATTCAACAGGAGAGTACCCCCCTGAGGCCGATCGTCGGCGCTCTCCCCCGTCATCTCCCTCGCCCAAAGCTTTGCCGTCGAGCTGAAGGCGTACCGCTCTCTAACGGCGGCCTTCATATCTTCCCGCCGGTCCTGCACGCATCCAAAGCGACCACGTTGTCCTTGACCGACAACACTTTCAAAGCCTTGCGAGGCGTCGTGTTCCCGGTCACCATCGTGAGCAGTCGCCCCTTTGGTGTGTTTTCTGGCACCCCTTTCGCTAGCATCCGTTCCGGGGATTTCCGATCGGGTGCCTGCTTTTGGTGCCCCCCTTTGGCGTATTCGTTCCGAGGTATCGGTCTTGGAAGCGTGCACGACTGCCCTGGCCCAGCTTTCCAACCAAGGCATGTCATGCTCTGGTAGCTGTTTACGGGAAGCAACAAGATGGCATCCAAGAGGGGTTTCACAGTAAGAGCATAGGCGGGGGAGGGGACAATACCCCACGATGAGGACCTACCTCACGATGTACTGTACGAGATACCGAAGGCTGACGGTTGGTGTTTTGGAGGTTATTGGTGCTTTTTACTGGGTGGAACGACATCGGGGACATTCTGACTGCAACAACCAACCGGTTGGTAGAGTTCTGTATGCAGTGTTGAGTTGTTCAAGCGCTTGCAGGCGTAATTTTGATGGAGCGGTTTTGAAGCAGCAGTTGCAAAGGTACTGCTGGTGGAAGTGGAACGTAGGCCGTGACGAAGTATGGCAAAGACCAGGTGCATGTTCCAGACCGTTCTGCGCATCTGTGCTACATGTGGATGGCATTTGATGGAAGCACACCAGATCAACCGAGAAAATGACAGTATCGGACCAAACTATGCATATCTAGGTTCTTACCAAATGGTGGCTGGCCAGGGCCTCGGGGGGTCCCATGTCCCACTGGTTTGTCAACTCCGGAAGGGTGGATGTCGGGAATCGACTCGTGATCGGGATGGACCCCATCGCCATGGCCTTAATGAGAGACACGCACCCCGTCTCTGTAAAACGCGAGATGGGAGTCGAATGGGGGGGTGGGGGGTGGGCATTCACTTGTTGATTGCCTTGGCCACCTACCGTAAAATCGCTGAGGGAACCGTGCACTCCCTTGCTTGAGCTGTGGGCGTGCACTTGTTTGAACCACAAATTTGGTTGTTATCTGGATCTATTCGTCCTGAACAAACTACGGGACATAGCTCACCTGGAAAGGACGTTGGGTAGAGCACGAATCCCGCCCGGGCGTACGCGTCGTGAAGCGTTTGGTGGTCGACCATTCCTGCCAGCCAACCCATCGGCCAGTGCGGGTGAGACGCCACGAGAGAACAAAGCACACTATTTTTAGGGAATCCTGTTTGTTCCTTCTTGTCGCGGTCCTTGGCTGAACGATCGGAATTACCTACAGCGCACGTGTTCTTGACGTTTTCACGCTAGTTGCAACGATTTAGGTACCACAGGAAGTTGATGTTGACGCACGACGCATATGTCAACCGTGCTTAAAAGTGTGTGGTTATCACGCCTCCTCGTCGATCTTGACCTCTACTTTCGACAAGAAAATCCACTCACCCATATAGAGGATACCCTCTTGGTCCAGAAGGCGCTTCATGCCCGCCACCCACTCATCAACACCATTCACATTGGTCTTCGCCCACTCCATAAAGTTGTCGCTGAAGCCATAGTATACCTGAATTATTATTGACTCCGATTTAGTATTTCAGTTTGTTTCCAGAGAAGAAGATGCATAATCTGCCGTTGGACATGGGGGGTTTCGTGTGGCGTTAAAGCGCAACAAGGTTGGCAAGAACGCCAGTAAAGGGTAGATCGCATCAATCCTGGACAAAAGAAGTACTAAGAGAGAGCGAGTGTGCATCTGTGTGTGCAGTCCATGTAGTAGTTGGTGAAGCCGGAATTGGAACCTCGTCGTGACAGCGTTCTTGCGACCCAAAGCGGCTCGCTAAGAAAAACCTGTTGTTGCCACACTCTTCAAGAGGTTTACCTTGTAGCGATGAAGGGTTTGCATATACATATGCACATGTGCTCTTAAATAACTAGTGGAGGCTTGACTGATACGAAAGTCAGAACAACGACCTCTGAATCACGTTGTTAGCACAAAATGCAGGACAAAATTCAATAAACTTCGTCTATTTGGCCCAGTACGTTCCACCCATACGACCCCAAAAGTGGCTACGACACACACACTTACTTGTTGTTCAAGGGAGTTCTAGCACGGAATTTACCCCTTACACCTACTCTGCAGTTCCAAAGAATGTCAAGACTCCGTCAGACACCGGGGGCGACCTCCGATGCTCGAAACGTCCACCATGTGGTGGATACATGTCCCGAACCGCCCTGGTGTTCCAAACCCGTCAGCACCGCATTCTCATAAGTTTTCGTCAGCGCTGCATTCTCTAAAGTTTTCGCCCCCATGAAGCAACTCCATGTATTGGTTTTCTCCTGTGACGCTTGCTGCTATTTAGTTGTCTCGGAGAAAAAATCATTCAGGGTATCACGTCAGACGGTGTTTACCACTCTCACCTCCAAGGTTGCTGTGGGTATTTGGCTTCGGATGTATGGCCACATCAACAACACTGCATGCGACAACCGCCGTAGGACATCGATCGTGCGGGGGAGGGGGGGGGGGGGGCAGGGAAAACACAAGGTACGAGAGGCGTACCGCGGGAAAGTGAAAGGAGCGTGAAAAAAGAAGGGGCTAGCTGCAGAAGCAAGAGAGATAATGATATACATACGGCTTCGAGCAGAGGGCGAGGGGAACGAAATTTGAAATTTGCGGGGCACCGTTCGTTGATGACGAAAGATACGTGCGGTGTAGAAAGCATGGGTTGTTTACCGGTTGCGAGGTACATAGATATGCGCGAAAATGTGATCGTCTGGCATATGTTTCTCTCAGCCAACACGTACGAGTTGTCATTGTTGTTGTTGTTGTTGTTTGTCTTCAGGATATTCTCGTTCTTGTCTTTGCAACACATGCCGTTGTTGTGGACTCTTGCTCTGCACTTTCATGCATCGTGTTAGACCACGGACAACACATGGATCGTTGTGGCCTCAGGCCTATTTCTCCGAAATGAGGCTCGTGCACGAAATTATCGACACGTCCAGAAAGATTGCGAGAACTCCCAAAAAATGGAGCGGGCAGAACCAAGATGAGATATGCTGCATCGACCAGCTCAAGACGACGATGCACGATGCGTAAAGTGTGTCTGTAACAAGGCTTTCTGCGCGCTCATGCAGCTGGCCTCTCACCCCCGCTTAGGCCTCTGTTGGGCGCACTCCCGTACACGAAGAGATCTGGGCTGTTGTCACCGTCTGAGAAGATCCTGGAATCGATCCCGTTGGGCAGCTGTCCAGAGAGAAAGAGGGAGGGGGGCAAAGCACTTGGAATATGTGATGGAATATTAGTCTAGAGACATGTCTGGGGCGCTGGAATGTGTCCAGAGAACGAAACAAACGGGTGGAGGGTACAAAAGTTGGGGAAATGGGAAGGGGGGGGGGCTGCGGACAGATACATCCATCCGAAGCGAAACCTGTTGACAATATTATTGATCAACAGGCAAGAGACGGTCAAATGATTGGTTGGTTGCATCGATCGGCAAAGTCTGGACAACAAAAACAAAAGGCACAACACGTGGAGGCCAGGATGCGGAGATTCAGGAAGTACTGACACATGTACACAAAGGGTAGTATCTGATGAATCTGTGAAAATAGATCGTGGTGCTTCCCAAGAGCTGCGAATGGTTGATGAATATCTAGCAGGCCGGGAAAATGAGTCCACCAAGGCTCGCCCACTCTCCGCACCACGCTAGCTTGACTGAGTTCGCTCGGTCACACTTGGAATCCCTCGCCCTATAGCAGCGAAGGAAATAGCCAGCCTCAAGTGGCAGGTCACAGCCACCACTCGCCGGACTCTCAGCGCACCCGGAGTTAAGGGCTCCATATTGGCGTCGACGAAGAGATCCGAACTCTCGCGGGCATAGCCCAACGGCCTATAGCGTCGCGTTGGGTTTGCGTATGTGCTAAATAATACGTGTTCTTTCCTTGAATGGTATGCAAGAGCGGGTAGGCGGCAGCAACAACACACGGAAGGCGGAGACTGGTCTTACCACGCGGCCAAGAGACCGCAAAGCTTCCGGCTGGATCACGCTGACGTGGTACAGGCTGGGGCAGAAAACACCGTCCAGGTTGTCCGCGAAGCCCGTGGATAACGGATCTTCCAGTACATCCTACGTGCGGGCGTCATAGTCAACATTGATTGCTTTACGACCGTTTCGTGCCAGAATCTCCTTAAAACGCTCATCTCCAACGTCACGATCAGAAACACTAAGATCTGATTCAGCAGTTTTGTGGCGTGAGCGCGGTTAACAAGTTCTTCTTGAGTGCAGTGTCGTGCTTCACCACGTTACCCTTTGGCACCGGTTAAAGTTGGAACCCACCGTCGGCCACATTTCCACCCTATGGACCTCGTTCGAAAGCCGACTCTACATAGCTGATGATTTGGGGCATTCCTGACGCGCGCCGGATACAGGTTGAACTACAGTAAGCCCAGTACCAGAGCAAGTGAACTTTTGCGGCGACCAGCGAGCAATTGATGCAGGAACACGGGGGTATCCTTGGAATTGTAGCGTCGGTGGAAGTGAATTTCTTCACAAGGGAATGCAATGAGACCGTCTACACACTGGGGTCTGCCCGGGGGTTTCCAGACAGAAGCACGTGATCCAGCGTTTTATCTCACGTTTTTAACTTGAAAGCAGGGTATACATCGTAATAAATGCAATAGAAGGGACGGCGAGGAACCAAGAGACAGAAATAGATAGATAGTAAAGAGACAACCAAGCAATAATTAAGGCCACCTATTCAGTCAAACCAGACATTTTGCAGCGCCGAACATCCGCACGGTGCATACGGGTTGGTGTGCTTAATTGCACGCCATGCGCGTTCTCTCCGCTGCTCTTTGACTCAGTTTACTTCGTAACTACCATACGTTTGATTTTCATCCCCTCACCCAGACACCAGATGCATTAAAGGCATGAAGAAGAAGCTTTTTTCTAATTGTGTAGCTTGCGGTTTGTCTTTCAGCTCACCTGCAGCCAGAGGAACCGGCGGCCACTGCCCTCCGCAAGGTGTAGGCTCACTTGATACCTGTCGTGTTACGAGTTTGTGACGTGTGAGACAAATGGGGGTGCCCGACCCGCTGCATTCTTGATCCCATGCATGGTTTCAATGGGTCAATCATCGTAAAACACTGGTGCTGTCGCGTTTGTCAGAAAAGGGTCTGAAAGTTTCTTAGACTGCGCAATCAGTTGAAAAAAGCTGGAGAGAGCATGGGGACTAAACCACTGATCAGGGTTGGAAAATTACAGAAGTATTGTTGACGGAAATTTTTGGCAGGAACGAGCACTATTCTCAAAAGGGGTCAAGTGGTATGCCAAGAAAATGCAAAGAAGGTACGCCGAAAGCCTGCCCTATCTATCTGTTCCGCCCATGGCCCACCACAGCAGTGTTGCCGTCGTCGTGGAGGCAATCATTTCTGAAGTGCAGATCTTCCCGCCTGGCAGATGTTAGAAATAATGCATGAAGGCTGAAGGCAGGAAGGCATGATCGAAAGCAATGATCTCCCCAATAAAGTCGGGGCGCTCTGTCCCGGTGAACGGTTATATTTTCAATCTGTTATCTTCACACATCAGCTTATCCCGAAATTTCGTTCGTAGTCACAAACAAGGCCATAGCAAAAACTCCTCCTGCGTATTTACAGTATATGGCTATGACCATGAATCGGCATGGACCATCGGCTCTCGTTGTCCAGGGGAAGCAAATCCATGTTATCTCTCTGCCCGTCCCTGGCTTCGCTGCAGTTCAGCTAATCTCGACTCCAACTCACCTCCACGCGACGAACACGTCGGGGGGGCGAGACACATCGAACGCCTTGTACGGGTACCAAACCACCCCCCCCGCGCCCCCGTCCTCCGCCCCTTCGAACCCGCGATCTCTCCCGACATCGTTCCCGATAGGGTCCGCGTAGACTTCCACCCAGAACCCGAGCTTCGCCAGCTCTCGCGACAAGTGGATTACCACCTCCTCGGAACCCCCTAACCCCTGCCCGAGACTTGAAGGGCCCCAGTTGGGAAACCAGGCGTTGCCGTACTCGAAGCAGTAGAACGCCACCACCAAGGGAAGGGGTTGGCCTGTAGTGTTTGTGTGGGTGCGTTGCCCCGAGGAAAAGAAAGGGTGGGCTCTCTTGCTTGCCTATAGTCATGTACAGGACGGGGATTCAGCGGTGTTTACCTCCGACCGTGAATCGACAACGGAATTTTCTCGTGTCACACAGTGCTGGTGGTAGCCGACACAGCGAGCAAGGCATGTTGTGCGGGGTCGAGAACCCTCACTCCGCGCAAAGGGGATGATCGCACCACGTTGTGTTGAATTGGGCAAGCACCCTCGAGGCAGCTACACAGTGCCCACAACTGTCTCTGGTAGTGAAATCACCCGAAAGTAAATTAAGTGATTCGCAGCTGTCATCCGTACGCAAGGGAGTAAGCACAAGATGCCGAACACCCTTTGCAGGATGCTGCGCACCCTTCATGCGAGTCGCCCAATACCTCACGGCGCTTCGCGCTTGGTGATGTGAGAGCCTGGTCCAGTGAGAACTCAGCGTGCTCCCTCCCGGCTTTGTAGGCATGCGAGGTCAATGGTCAAACGACTACGGCATGCACGACTATGAGTACACACGCCCCCCCATCCCCCCGCGCAAGCGACTCTATCGTACCCACCGTCAGCCCCCCTCCGTGGGCGAGGTAATCTGGGCACGACTGAACCCCCTTCTTCATGAAACCAGGCATAGTTGAGTGCCCTGACGGCTCTGTTGAGCTCGCGGTGAGCCCTCTCGACGTGTCCGGCGCTGCTGAGGCAGGCCGCGTACCGAAGGGGGAACTCTTGGTTGCCTGAGTACAAGTAAGAGGGAAAGGTGGGGGTTACTCACTTGTTGGCTTCCCCTGGGATTCATCGGAACTTTGACCACACGCCCCTTCAGACGAGGAGCGACAATGTGTTCAGCTTTTCGAAATTAGTCCCGAGCGTCTTTTTACGTTTCTATCTGTTTGATGCACTGCCCTCTCGCTTACGACGTTGCGCCATATTCTTAATTGTTGTGGCCGCCACTATATGCAAGGGGGAGGAGTGGAAAAGGACCAGGGAAAGAGGAACACTATGTCTAGCACAGTACTACTGTGACTCTGCAAACGACCATCGAATCTCTTCAAAAAAGGCCAGCCGCAAAAACAGAAAATCCACAGCATCTAAACCGTGTCTCTTTCTGTTTTCATCCTGAAACTGGTTGCCGCTGTCGCCTCACCTGGCTGTGTCTCGGAGGCAAGCTTCCACGCCCTCCACGCCTCCTCCAGCCTTTGGAGAGCGTAACGCAAGTAGGTGTTTGTTCACGAGGATCATCATTACAGGCAGCGAGCTAGCGGGGTTGTACGGTGATACAGAGGTAGGCCGTCGCTCGACAATTCACTCAAGCACAACTGCACACCGCCCGCCGCAATGCTGGACCGAATATTGTACTTGACCACTACACCAGTGGTGCACTGGTTGAAGAACAGCTGTAAAAGCGCCGACAACACAACCAACGTTTAAGACTCATCGTGTATTTCACTGGAAAGCGTGACTCGTGCAAAAATTCGCCTTGATTAGGATGCAAAGAGTCGCGAATCCTCGAAAATTAAACACAAGCAAACACACGCGTGTACTCCCTGCCCCCAAAAGCCACCCCCCCGCCCCCCTCCCCCCACTACATGAACGAGTAAAAGTTCAAACCACGGACCTCCCGAGTCCCACGAAGCACGACGCCGCAGCCTCCAGGATTCCTGCCACCTCGTCGGCATCCTCCCCGTGCCACGCCTCCCACGCCCACCCATCCCCAAAGCCGCGTTCTTCGTCACCCCCCGGGGGAGGGTCGTGCTCGCGTCGTTCGCCGGCGCTCTCGACTGCCCCACCGGGCAGATGCCGGCGCAACCCCGGCCAGTGCTTCCAGAAGGCGCCGGCACACGCGGTGTGGTCGCCCCTTCTCCAGTAGCGTCTCAGGACGATGAGCAGGGGTGTTGGTAGGCGAGAAGGACTCACGGCCAAGCCTTTGAGGAAAGGCGCGTTGGTCGTCTCGGGGGGAAAGGACAGGCCGTCTCCTTCGGCTATTGCTGACGGGGGTCGGCGGGCGAGGAAAGTGGTGATGGTGCGGGGGAGCGTTGGGTGTACTCAGTTGGTGCTTTGGCTTGACGTCCGAGCAACCACGATCCGCCCTTTCAAACAGAGATATTCTGGCGCGCTGCCCTTTCACCACGTGCTTGCCGCAAGGATTTCTCCAAATAATAAGAGGGGGTTTGTAGATCGCGCTTGCGACCAGAAGGTGATTGCCCTTGGACGACCACACTACAGGCACTGCGTGGACCATTTTGTGTCTCGTGTTTGCTACGAGATCGCCTTCCGTCCTCCCCAAACGCCGGTGAGAGAAAGACGACGACTATGGCACGTTGGGGCACCTACTCGTGACACACTGCTGGAACGAAACCACCCGTCGTTGTTGTACTTTCTTTCCCTCCCCCTCCCGATTTCCGTATTATTTCTGATTCCTCTTACCATGCTGGGCTGCATCCAGATTTCTCCACAGCATCGCAACGTCGAGGCCTGGCTCCTTAAGTTTCCCTGATGTGGCCAACAAGGCCGCTCTCTCCATGAAAACGACTCCTTCCGTACTCCTGTTATGAATCATGAAGCAAACGGCGTATCCAAGCCGTGAGACGCACGTAATTGGCACCTTCACAGAAAGCACAACTTGTTCATGTTGTCTTCGCCCCATAAGATGTTGGTGATACGCAGTTTAACAGAAGTGCACTTGTTATGCGACTGATGGCATGCGTTCGTTCAACGCTATTCGTTTTTAGACCCTCTTCCACACTTTTGGGGGGAATCATTAACTGATGTCATCAAAACAGTAGGCTGAAGCGTTATGCCGGTAGGAGAAGCGGGTCGAATCCCTTGTTTCGCTCGTCGCTCAAGGGACGTGTAGACGGGAGAATCACAAAGTGTGTTTCCTACACAGAGCGCACCACCCCATCCATTTGCCTATCGCACTCTTCGTAGTAGGACGTTATGAAGTACAAGATTGGTTGTTGCATCCAGGGTTTAAAAATCGCGGAAAAACAGCGCGGCAGTACAAGCACACCACCGGTTCGCGAAGCGCGCGAGGCCCACCTCCCCAGGAAGTGCAGAGCAACCCCCCTCATGTGCAAAGCTTGAGCGCTCAGTGGGTCGCCAGCCAGCAGCCTGCCCGTGGCCGTTAGCGCGTCCTCGACACCCTCCGTGGTCCCCGTCTCCACCCACACCATCGCCGCCTCCACCGCGCGTGCGACCATACCCTTGGCCGCTGTAGTCACCTGGTCCCCTGCGTCGTTGATCCCCCTGTTCCACGGTGCACCACGGCTGCTGCCGCTTGGTAGAGAATCATCATCCTCGTCGAATGGTAGCCGTAAGGGGGGCAAAGCGCCCTGCGTCGGGTCCACCACTGCGGCCGGAGAAGGGTTGGGGGGCGGCGGCGGGGGGGTTGTCTTGTAAGAGGTGCACTAAGCATCAAGACAGTAGAAGGGGGATGGGAGGATCGGATGCTGTTCCTCTCTCCTCCCGTTTGTCTTCCAGCGAACGTCACATGCTTTCTCTGGACGAGAGTGGGCGGGTGGATTGGACACGTATTCGTCTCCTATGCATGCGGCCCTGATTTGTTTGGTGTCGGGAACGCCATGCATCCTCTTTCAGACGGGGTCGGGGGTTGGGGGGCCGCTTGCATGTGCAGCTCACACAATAACCTACTTCAAAATGGTGTTACGTACGATTGAAGCAGACTGCGGTTACCTATGTGGCTGGGTGGTAGCCCCAACTCCCTCTGCTCCCACATGGCCTCGTATGCCCTCTCCAGGTTTCTCGTGGTGAGGCGTGTATCGAAGAGGGGGCTGTTCATCGCCCTCGACAGGAGCCTGGAACGGCGCAATGCATTGACAAGCATCGATGAGGTTTACAAGACGCAAAGAGGTTACCGGAGTTTGACGGTTGCAATCTGCTTCCGGTTGCACTAGCCTACTAGGGGGGGGGAGGTGCGAAACTTGTGACGCGGCGTGAAATCTATGTTGGGTTCTGTGCGGACCGCAATCTCGTCGTCGGCGAAGAAATTCGACAACCGGGCGGCCAAACCAAAGCACGCGAGCATGGCGTTTGTTTTCGCGGTATGATGCCGCTGCTTACCCCCTCTCAGAGAGTGATGCCAGATGTGCCGCCGCAAGCGGCCGCGTCTATTCTTAAAAACAACAAGCGCGACATGACCAGAAATGTTCAGCATGTTTCATGAGTGTTGAGCACGAACAACAAGGATCGTGGCCTGAAACAACGAAGTACGAAGTGAACAGCATTTGCAGCACCCCCCAAGGCGTGCTACCACTTGTTCTGACCTTTTCCTCAGGGTTGCCAGCCTCCCCGGAGACTGCACCAACGCCACCGCCGCGTTCTCGAGGTCTTTGACGCTGTGAAATGAAAGCTCGTCTAAGCCTAACGCCGAGAGTAGGGACGTGCCGACGCGGCCTGACATCTGCCCTGCCGGCGTGTCGTCTGCAAGTAGACGAGGTGGCAAAAGGAAACCAGCGGAGGAGACTGAATGAGGGGGAGGGGTATCGTCTTTTGACCGTTGACATGCATCCCTCTTGCGGCGGAACACCAAAGGGGGGGAAGAGGGGGGGGCACCAACTTGTTTCATCCCTGAGTAGTTCAAATTCGACCATGTCGCGGCGATGAGGCCGTTCGTAGGTGAACGCCGTCCAATAAACGGTGACAACATGTGTACAACGTGCATACGTTCTCCTGCTGATCTAGGTTACATAAAAAGAGGACCACAGTTTGTGGACAAACCATTCTCGGTGTTCATTGAGAGACATCTCTCCGACCGATGAGTATCGTAAAAGTGCGAATCATCCCCCCCCCCCCCCCCGGGGTTTGCCATCGGGGTTTGGGTTTTCCTCCATTGGCAACCACCTTGTAAAACAAGCCCCCCACTCCGTGTTTGCCATCGGGATTGGGTTTTCGTCCATTGGGAACGACGTTGTAAAAAAAGCCAATTCACTTCGTGAACTCGGCAACCAGGTTACCGTCTTTTTTTTTTACCTCTGTTTTTTTTTTTGGGGGTAGCCATAATGGTGGTCGAGTAGATCATGTTGTGGGGGGTCGAGAAACCTCCCTCCCCGCAACGGGGGATGATCCCACCACGTTGTGTTAAAATGGTCAAGCTTCCTCGAGGCAGTTACACAGTGCTTACAACTGTCTCTGGAAGTGAAAGCACCAAAAAAAAAATTAAGTCATACGTAGCTGTCATCCGTACGCAAGGAAGTAAGCACAAGATGCCGAACACCCTTAGCAGGATGCAGCTCACCCTTCATGCGACTCGCCAAATACCTCACGGCGCTTCGCGCTTGGTGATGTGAGAGCCTGGTCCGGTGAGAACCCGGCGTGCTCCGTCCCGGCTTTGTAGGGATGCGAGGTCAATGGTCAAACGACTACGGCATGCACGACTATGAGTACACCCCCCCCCCCAAGGCCGGCTTTCACAGCTCAATGACCCCACAAGCAAGCGGACACCTACGCCTGGAAGAGTGGTCTTGGAAACACCTCGTCGAGAGCTTGCTTTCCTTGTTTGCACACATCGGTCAAGTTTTCTCACCCACCTAGTTATGGACCAATCGAGCTTTGAATGAGGTCTAGGGGGTATGCGATAACTCGTATTCTTACAAGTGTTCTATCCAGCTACCCTGCTCAGGTTCATTTTACGCGTTCTTTCGTCGCAACGCGTACTAGGCGGTATTGGCTCACCTACGCCGTAGCCTCTCAGCGTGAGGAGTGGCAATCCTGCCCAAAGAGCGTCTGCCGCGGTGGTGTGCGCGCCGTAAACAAAGCTGTCGACAAACAGGTCGCAAGAGCCGCTGACGCGCTTCGCGTTGCATCGCAGGGGGCATCAACGGGAAGGATTTGACAGAAAGAGGACAGGGCGAGAGGAGAGATCGAATGACTTGAAGCACGAACCACCGTTGCTGATTTTCAACCCAAAACTAGACCAATCCCAAGAGCGAGCGGTTTAAGGGGACTTATGAAAAAGTCTAGAAGTCACAAATCAGTTTGCGTTTGCCTGTACATCTCTGGATCTCCTTACCCAGACGTGTTCTTGTCGTGTCAGCAATTCGTCGAGCCTTATTCTATCCGGGTGCACACCCATCGCAGCCGCCTCCGCCTTAAGGTTGACCTCCACGCCATCTTCTGGGTCGCGTGTAGAGCCTAGCAGTAACAAGACGCTTCCGGGGACTCTGACGAGTAGGATGCGGTGTTAACGATCGATGTGCTGCTTGAGTCGGATGACGGGTGTGGATGTGGTGTTAGACGGTAGTCTAAACAGCATTGTTGGGTGGTGGCTAGTGACATACAGCTTGGAGCACACATTCGATCCATCCCCACCCGGCGTGTGGTGTGAGCCCGGAAATATCATCAAGTCAATATGTTGTCTCCTTCTGGGGCCGGAAAACTTAGCGTGTGCTATCGCTCGAGCAGGCGCTTAACTCGAACCATCGTGGGTTCCCGCCGTCCGAAACGAAATCACTTTGTTCTAGGCTCGTGGTCGACGCTGATTCGTATCGCAGGCACGGTCGGTTCGTGGAGGATGCCACGGGTTGAAGAGACGTCAGTTCTGCTACTTCCAAGGACACGAAACTCGACATGGAGTAAGCGATATCCCTCCCTCCCGTATGAAACCCATCGCCCTTCTTTACCCCATTGTCGAGGTTGGCATTCGCAACAAAGCGGTACGAACGCCGGACAAAACAAATCGTCACCACGATCCCAGGTGATACTGTTTTGCTGTAGCCGAACAAACACACCGTGGGAGGTGGGGGGGGGGGGGGGGGGGGGGGGACCCTTTTTTTGGTTGGCGGAATCTTTTTAACCTTTACCCCCCCCCCCTTTTGAAAAGGGACCCCCTTCCCCCCCCCAAAAAAAAACCCCCCAAAATTTGGGGACCTTTTTTTTTTTTCCCCCAAAAAAAAAAAAAAAATTTTTGGCCATTTTTTCCCCCCCCTCTAGGGGCCCTTGGGCCCCCCCTTTTTCCCCAATTTTTCCGAATTTTTTTTTCCTTTTTTTTAAAGTAACAAAATTTTTCATTTTACCCCCCCTCTTTTTTTTTTTCCCCCCCAAAACCTCTTTTTTCTTTCTGGAAAAATCAAAACCCCCAAATATGTGGGGGCTCCCCCCCCCCCATTTTTCCCATGGGCGGGGGGGGGGGGGGGGGCTTTCCTGGTTTTTTTTTT